GCAGAAAATCGTTTGACAAAATTCTATGTTTATCTACGATAAAAACCTTCAGTGAAGTAGGAGTAGAATGGAATTTCTTTAGTCTGATAAAGGGCATGTATAAAAGCCTACGGCTAACTAGTAAATGAATTTAGCAAAAGCTCAGTATACAAAGTCACACACAGAAATCAATCGTATTTGTATATGCAGGCAATCAACAATAATTGGGATCTGAAATTTTTAAAAATACCAGTTGCAATAATGAAATACTCAAAAATGAGATACTTAAGTGTAAATGTAACATGTGCAGGATATGTAAGCTGAAAACTACAAAGTTCTGATGAAAAAATTTTGAAAGACCTAAGTAAATTGAACGGAGTGGAGAATCCAGAAATATGCCCAATTTACTTTTGAAAAAGGTGCAAAAGCAATTCAATGGTGAAAGATTGGTCTTTCTAACAATTTGTATTGAAACAACTGGACATCCACATGCAAAAAAATGGATTTTGACCTATCCCTCACACATTACACAAAAATAACTCAAAATGGATCAAAGATATAAAGGTAAAACTATATAGCCTTTAGAAGAAAATCCTTAGGCGAAAAGTTTATGGATATGACTCCAAAAGCACTATCCACTAAAGAAAAAAGATAAACTGGGCTTTATAAAAATTAAAAAACTTTGGTCTACAAAGGATGCTAAGATAATGAAAAGTTACAGGTTGGAGAAAACATTTGCAATATATAGCCAACAAAGGCCTTGTACTCAGAATATATAAAACTCTCAAAACTCAACAGTAAGAATATAAACAACACAATTCAAAACTGGGCAAAAGACCTGAGCAAACACTTCAACAAAGAGAACATATGGATGACAAATAAGCTCGTGAAAACATGTTCAATATCATTAACCATTAGGGAAAAGCAAATTAAAACCATATACGATACCATTACACATGTATTAAAACGGTTCCCCCCAAAATACCAATGATACCAAGTGCTGGAAAAGATTCACAGCAACTGGAACTCTGAGACATTATTAGTGAGAAAGTAAGTAATATAGCTACTCTGGACAACAATTTGCTGTTTCTTATGAAGTTAAACATATGTTTATCATATGACCCGGAAATACCACTCCAAGGTATTTAGCCTAAAGAAATGAAAACTTATGTTCACACAAAAAACCTGTTTACATGAATGTTTATAGCAGCTCTATTCATAATCACTGAAAAATGGAATTAACCCAAGTGCCTTCCAATGGGTAAATGGATAAAAAAACTGTGGTACATCTGTATTATATAATAGGATACTACTCAGCAACAAAAAGTCATGAACTATTGGAATACACAACAATCTGGATGAATTTCAAAGGCATCAAGCTGATTAAGAGAAACCAGTCTCAAAAGGTTACATACCATATCATTCCATTTATACGATATTTAGTAAAAGGCAAAACTGGAGGGATGGAGAATAGATTGGAGGTTGTCATGGTTTAGGGGTGGAAGAAGAGATAGCAAGAAGGAGTTTTATGGGGTGATGAAACTGTTTTGTATCCTGATTGTGATGGTAGTTACATGAATCTATACATTTACTGCATGTTCATTTAAAAAAATTAATTTTTTAATATATTCAATTTATTCAGGAAATATTTAAGTGCCTCCTCTCTTTCAGACCCTGATTTCGATTCCAGCCCTCAGGGTGCTGAAAAACAACAGACAAGACACAAGAAAACAACAATTCTAGTACCCTGTGTTCCTTTGTATGACAGGATGCTGAGGGAACATGTGGCAGGAGAGTCTAACTCCACATTGAGCCTGGGTTGGGCAGGGAACACACCATGGAGAAGGCCACTGGAAAATCAAGTAGGAGGTTTCTAGTTTGGAGAACCGAGTGGGTGAAAACTATTTGAGGACATTCCAAACAAAGAACGCAACATGCGAGACTGAAGCTTGGAGAAGCTGAGTATGTTGCCCAAATTTCTGTAAATCTGAAACTATGCTAAAATTAAAAGTTTATTTAAAAAAAAAAACAAAAAAAGGAAGGATGACTCAGAGGGAGGAACCAAAAGGCCAGAAGGTAGACTGAGAGCCATGGAGAATTATTGCCAGGCCTCAATACTTAATCAAGGAATATCTGACATTTGACCAGGTGGATACTAGAATGGCTATTTCCAAAATATCAGTGACTTTTTTGTGTCTCTCATTTTCCTTCTTTTTTAACAGGAATGTCTACAGCAGTTGTCCTGTGCCTATTCCACCATTATATGATAGGTGTGGGGAGCAGACAAATGTTTCTTCACTGTCATAGTGAAGAGGAACTGTACTTGAGGAGTTATGTTTAAGAAACTACACCTGAGGAGTGTCTTTCTCTCCTGGACCTGATTTAGATAATAAGATTCTGGATTTCAAGCCGATGCTTTAATGAGATACTTTAGGGGCCCTGTGCAGAAATGAATGTATATTGCATGTGGGAATGATGTGAATCATTAAGGACCAGAGCACAGAATTTAGTAGACAACCTTCAAGATGGCCCCCAAGGAACCCACATTCTGTTATCCGTACTCTTACGTAGTCTCCACCCATATTATACCAGTGTTGATCTGTATGTTCAATACTAGACAGAAATGATAAAACACCACCTCCAATGTTAGGTTATAAAAGCTGCGCCTTCCATCTTGGACATTCTCTTGTTGGCTTGCGTGGCTTACTCCCTCTAGAGGAAGCCAGTTGCTGTTCTGCGTGAACAGCCCTGTGAAGAGGCCAACGTGGCAAGGAACTGAAGCCCCCAGCAAACAGCCATGTTCATGAACTCAGAAGTGGACCCTCCAACCCAATCAAGTCTCAGATGACTACAGCCCTGAATGGCACCTCGACTGTATCATCATGACAGGTCCTGAACCATAATAACCCAACCAAGCCACTCCCAGCTTCCTGGCCCACTGAAACTGTGAGATAATAAATATTTGTTGTTTCAAGGTACCAAGTTTATTACACATAAATAGGTAACTAAAACATTCACTCATCATCTATTATAATCCTAAATCAGCCCTTTGCAAGCATCTCTGAAACTCAAAGATGAGCAGCTAAATTCAAGGAAAGGAAGGAAGCTGAGTCGATAACAAATCAGTTGGGAAGAGATAAAGAGCCTAGTAAGGATACACTTAAAGTAGGACTCCAAGGAATTATGGATAAGGATCATCTGCCTGAAGAATCATAACACAGACCTTGTATAAATCAGGAGTCAGATTCCAAACTCTGTATTCCAGAGCAAAACAGCTAGGCAGAAGGTATCAGGTAGTTAAATGTAAATAAATGGAAACCTGTCCAGTTCTCAATCTCTAGGCTAATTTAAAGCAGCAATAAATTTTTAAGAATGGGATCTTCATCACTGTCAGGCCAGGAATAGAATTCAATTCAATCCAACAAATACATAGTGGTCACCATTTCTGTTGCAAAGGAAATGACTGATGCTCTAAAACAGAAACTGGATCATGAATGGTATTGCTATAGAGTATTTAATCATCCCACTGGGCTCCCTCTCGTATTGATAATAAAAGTTAGTGCCTGGGCATTTATGCTAGCTTGCTATAGTCAGGATTAAAAAGATTGAAGTAAAACAAAAAGAAGACAGAGCCAGCCCTGATGACCTAGTGGTTAAATTTCAGCGCTCTCATCACTTTGGCAGCCCATGTTCATTTCCCGGTCATGGAACCACAGCACCAGTCTGTCAGTTGCCATGCTGTGGCAGCGGCTCACATAGAAGAACTAGAAGGACTTACAACTAGGATATACAACCACGCACGGGGGCTTTGAGGAGGGGAAAAAAAGAGAGAAAACAGGCAATGGATGAGGCCAGAATTCAGGGGAGGACCTCAGGAAAAAAGAGAGAGAAACAGAAAAGACAGAGTGAAAGATTCCCCTTCATCTATTATGAATATGTAGTGCCAGGAAAAATGTCAAGAGCTTAAAAAAAGTGTTTCGGGTTGATCCTGAATGGGTGTCTCCAAGGGAGCAACGTAATAGTAACCATCATCAGCATCATGATCATGGCAAGTGTTAAGGACTCACCTATGTGCCAGGCATTGTTCTAAATTGTTTTCATGGATTCATTTGTTTAATCCTCAATAACCCTATGAGAGAGCTGTTATTATTTTCCTCATTTAAAAAGCACTGAAGCATAGAAGCTAAGTAAATCTCCCAAAGTCACAAAGCTGCTGAATGGCAGAGCTAGGATTCAAATCCAGGCATCCTATCTCCACAACCAATGCAATGTTGCCTCTCAGTGAGTCGATGTGGACTACTGGCCTGTGCCTTTGACCACTTGCCCATTACAGTGTGAGCTTACACTTTCACTAGAGAAAGCCAGAAGTGAGTGAGGAAAATGGGAATCAAAGTCCTCGATCAATTTTTTTCTGCTCAGCTATCCTGGGCCAGATATGGAAGGGTCCTATATAAAAATGCCTCTGAGGTCAGCCTTGCACAGCTAACTGCCAGAGTTGGTACACTCCTGACTCGCTGACATCCAGGTTCACCCCTCCCCATCCTAAGAAGACCAATCCAATAAAATGGCATCACTCAGAGGACACCCCTTTCTCAGGCCTCACTGGGAGACTTGCCACTTGGACCATGCGCAGAGACACAGCCTTGTCAAGCTACTCCAGACCACGGCTTTCAGACTACTTAAAAATCAAAGAATCTTTATTTTCTTTAAACTCCATCCTGTACAGGATATCTTGAACAAAGAAAGTTTTAATAATACATATGAGACAACTGGTAATAAAGCAGAATTTATACCTCTGTATATAAACTGGTATTAAGAGAAAGCTGAAATATTATTACTACTAATAATAAAATAATTTAAAAACAGAATAGTTAAGCTGGAAACACAATAACATTTTTTTGTTGTTCCTTTGGCTCCATGTTTAGGTAATAGCAAAAAAAAAAAAATCTAAAAATCTCTTTGACTGGTTGTACATTTGTTCTAGCGACCTTAAGGAAACTGAGAGTTGTGCCTCTCTTGTAATCCCCTCCTTGATGCTCCAGGAGTGCCCTTGGGTACATCTTTACCTCCACATTCTCCCCCTAAGTCATGTGCTTGTGTCTGTGCATTCCCTCTCTCAGATTGGGGAGAGAGTGGGTAAATACTTCAGGCTTTGTGGTTCATACGGTCTTTGCAGCAGGAAAGCAGCCACAGACAATACATGAATGAACAAGCGTGGCTGTGTTCCAATAATATTTTATTTATACACATTGAAATTTGAATTTGTATAATTTTCACGTGTCAGGAAATATTACTCTTTCAGGTGTTTTTTCAAATGTACAAACACAGAAAGTGTGCTGGATTTGTCCCAAGGGCCATACTTTGCTGATCCTTGTCTTAGATGCTAGGCTGCTTGAAGGCAGAGACGAGGACTCACTCATCCTTATCTCCCTATTGCCTCACACATGTCTGCGTCAGAGCAGGAGCTCAATATTCATATCTGCAATGGCAGAAGAAATGTAAGTTATGATCCCCCTTGTGAAGATCTGGGTGTAGATCCTTAAGTTCTTTGACAATTTAATTTAATCAAATTAAATGCAAATTCCCATGTTTCTAATTATTGCACCCTAACTCCAACTTCATTTCTGGGTATAGGGCTCATACCCAAATGTTTCTTGCCTTTGTAATTGACTCCTGGTTCATCTTCCTCACTGTTTATTTCCATAGAATATTAGCTTTTCTACCTTGAACTTTGTGACATTCAGTTTTTGCCTAGTGGCTAAATTCCCAAGGCCACCCACCCCAGATTTTCTCAGGCCATCTTGTTTTCAAAGATGCATGTGTGTGTTGCAAGATGTCTTGGCGTGGCAGAGTCCAGGTCTCATGGCCCACAATGAGTTGAAGGAGGTGTCTCCACTCTACTTACATGCACTGACATCCTTAGATTTATGTGGAGCTGAGAAGACGGATGCATTCGCATGAGGTGGATGCAAGATTGCAATGGGATCTCTGCTTGAGAAAGAGAATTGAAAGAACTGACTGGCTAAACACCATAGCACTTGGGGCTCAAGCATCCTGAGCTCAGTGTGCTGAGAAGGGGCACATTCACAGTCATGACATAGATCACCAGCCCCAGCACATGTGGCGCCATTCCGGGGGCACCAACATCACAGCCAGATTTCCATCTCCACCAGTGTTAAGGCTATAGACATGGAGGCAGCCATGAAAATGGGAACAAAATTCCAGCTCGGAACAGCTGCTCTGTACATTGAGGCCCAAGTCTACAGAGCTCTAGCTTGGCCAGCAGAGCAACAAGCAATGGCCAAGAGTGATCAGCCAACTCATGGGAAACACTTGGATACTCCCAGCAATTCTTAGGGCCAGAGACTCAATAACACCCTACTCCCCAAGTATATATGAGCACTAACGTATATGATTGTGAATTGACAGAATATCAACCATAGCACGTGCCTGGTATGCAGCAGCCACTCGATAAACCTTTGTTGACAGAATGATTGAATACCGTCCATGGCTGATATTCTCTCTGTTTAGTCTACACTGTATCCAGCACCTAAAACCGTGCCTGGCATACAAATGGCTCTC